TTGAGCATCCAAAATGCCTGGAGGCTGATCTCCTTCCTTCTACACTCGGCCTTGGCCTGTGTCCCTGGCTCCAGCCCAGGCCAGTTTCCAAGGGCAGAGTCTTGGGTCTGATTTCCTGTGAAGCACTAAGTCAGGAACAGTCTCTCCCATCCAACCTGTGTGTTTACTCTCCAGCCAAGCAACCCAAAACCCCACTGTCTTCAGAAGACAGAGGGGAGTGGACACAAGTGACACCTTCTATTTGTGCAGCATTGGATACTTTTATCAATGTACTGGCAGTGTGGGGCAGGAAGTAAGCTCTCGTCAAGGTGTAGGGAGGGGATCAGGCTGCAAGAGGTTCCCATACAAGTATGTAATCTTCCGTTTCCTAGTAGCCACATTAAACAGAGAGAGAGAGAAGGGCATGTGAGAAGCCTGGTCCATCCCCAACACCACAAAAAGAAAGAAGAAAAACAAGTAAAATTAATTTTAACAATATATTTAATTTAAACCAGTATATCCAAAATATCATCCTGACCTGCAGTGATGCTAAAATCACTGACAAATTCTGTCTTCAAACCTGTCTTGGAAATCCCACGTGTGTCGACTCACAGCACGTCTCCATTCAGACCACATTCCAAGGCTCAGCCACCTGCGGCCAGTGGCTGCTGACCTGGGCAGCACTAGAGTTAGCGTTAAACAGTGGGGGCTGCTGCCGGAATGTTCTGGTTTGAAGGTCTAGAGTTTTTCAGTGGAATCAGACAGAGACACAGCCACACTCCAATAGATGGTCACAGGGCAAACACTGGTCCTACCAGGTGCTGGCCCTGAGCGAGGACGGGGCCGGGGGTGCTGGCCGGCAGCAGCATGGTGTCCTCTGCACTCAGCATGGTGAAGGCTACTCCCTGTTCCCCTGGATGCCCCTTGATTTGTCCTTTCTGTGTCCTGCTGATGTCATTTCTTCGGTGACTTCCCTTTGCCCATTGTCTCTTGTCCAGAACCACTTGAAGGCCACCTCCTCTGAGTGCCCTTCCTTGCCCTGCCCTGCACCCTGCTCAGACCCAGGAATGGGAGAGAAGCAGAACCCCGCCTTTATGTTCCTGTGGTGCTCTGGCCTGCCCCTCCCAGGGACCCTTGTCACAACCATGTTCTGGATCCATCTGTCCTGAGGTGGCTGCCCCATGCATTGGCTTCCCCCGGAGGACAGTGACTTCCCTCTGTACCCCTCCAGGACCAGCAAGTAAACCAATGAGGGATCAAAAGGATGGAGGTTATCTTGCCTCCGGTTTAACTGAAAGGACAGAGACCGTGACTTCCGCACCCACCACCAGTGTCTGTGCAGGGCTTGCTGAACAGCAGCCATGAAGACGCAGGGCCTTAGGCGCCACCCCAGAATGGTTCCAGAAGGCCTGGCGAGAGCCCTCCAGCTGCATGCTTCTCATCCCTCTAAGAGAGTCTCAGCACAGACAAGCTCAGAGATGCAGACTGTGTAACTAGGGGGAGACTAGATGTGTAGAGAAACCTGATATTCGTACATATCACGCAGCTCGGGGCCCATGGGAAAGAAGTACTACTGTGATTTCACTTCACAGGTGTTCTCAGGTGTTCATTGTGTAGGGGACTTTTGATCTACTTGGTTAAAATGCAGCATTTATGAAGGGACATGGTAGGCAAGAAGGAGGAAAGCCTGGCGCCCCACCCCAAAGGGCCTTGAAGCCCCAGGTCGACGCAGCCGTGTCCCAGGAGTGACCCAGAACACCATCCCTCGGGGAGAGGCCAGGACATCTGCATCCTTATGCCTCGTTCTTTTTCTTTGACAGGTCTCCCGTGATGGCTGGTGGCCTGTTTGCCGTGGATCGGAAGTGGTTCTGGGAGCTGGGCGGGTACGACCCCGGCTTGGAGATCTGGGGAGGGGAGCAGTATGAGATCTCCTTCAAGGTGAGCCAGTGCTCAGAAGCCCCTTCCCCTTGACTCTGCTCCTTGGCCCTGGGCCTGGCAGGCTGCCTCCTGGCGTCTCGGACTCAGGGCTCTCAGGGTTCTGTGGCCCCTTTGCTCCTCAGGCGAAGAAGCCAGGGGCCAGCGGGCCACTCCTTGTGGGCATGTGGGGGACAGGGCGGGGGGCCGTGGGTGCATCCTCAGGCTGCCAAAGGCTGGTCTTGCTGGCATTTGCCTTCCATCTCTTCTTAAGATTCTGAAATAAGACAAGCCCCCTTCCAGTCAAGATGGCACGTCTGGAATTGAGATGCCGGCAGCCCATGGTGAGGGAGGAGCCAGGAAGGCCTCAGGATGCACAGGCCTAGAGGAACACTGTGCTGAGAGTAGCTAGGTAGCCTCACAGGTACCAAGTTGGCCTCTGGGTCACCCCTCTCAGTTCTCCTTTTGTACCCGTCACTGTAGGAGTTTGACATAGAGGCCAGAGGGTAAAAGCTCCAGTTGAGGGCTCAGAAAGACCTGAGTTCAAATCCCCATTCCAACACTCAGTAGCTTCCTGACTTCAAGCTTTCCTCATCTGATGTAGAGGAACAATAATAAGAGCTACCTCACAGAGGTACAGTGGAGATGAACTGAGAGAATGTCTGGAGAGTGCTCAGCATATAACATGGGAACGTGGCCAGTGATTGATGATTGTAGACACACACTGTCAAAGGTGCCATGAATGAACATTTACCTCTTCGATCAGCCCGTGGGCTGTAGAAACTCTTGACAATGGAGGTAAAGGAGTCACTAGTTAACTACTCAAACGTGAGTGCACATTCTCCTCTTTATTTGTGGGATTCCTTTGCATCATCAGGTGAAGAAGGCCAAGCCATGTGAGATGGGTCAGCTTGTCCTGTGCCCTTGTGGTCCACCAGCCTCCAGCATGTTCAGAACCTGGCTAAGGCAGATCCCCAGCCTACAAGGATGGCCATTGCTGCCATCACTAGCTGACACCCGTGAACTCACAACCCTGATGCCCCCTGAGCTGGGTGGCCAAGATCAGATCCTCGCTCTGCCACTTCCTATCAGCTGTGTGATCCTGCACAAGGAAATCGCCTCAATGGGCCTCAGTTTCTGTTTCCATAAAATGGGTTTAGTGATGCTTTAAGCCTCATGGGTTGTTGAGAGGATTAATTTAGACCATGCTAATTAGGTGCTTTTAATAAATACCCTAAAGGTTACTATCATTATCAACCTACAATATAAGATGACTTATACAACACTGGTTAAGCAGGTCAGAACTGGGGAACATAATTTATTTTTGTACATAGGATTGACCCCAGGGGTACTTTACCACTGAGCCACATCCCCTGCCCTTTTTATTTTTTATTTTGAGACAGGGTCTCACTAAGTTGCTTAATTGCCAAGACTGGCCTTGAACTTGCAATCCTCCTTGATCAGCAGAAAAACAGCCACCTAGAGTGCTGCTGAAACATTATTTGGGTTTGAAAGGTAGTATTGTCTGTTTTAACCTCCAGAGCTCTGAAGCTGTCCCTCTTGAGGACAGCAGCCTCCTCCAAAAGAAATAAAACAAATGTTAATATCTCAGGGTAACAGTCAACATATGTTATTTAAGAACCCTGATGACATAAGCACCAACCAGTCAGAAAGGTGCCAGCCACAAGCAATGTGCATCTGCTGTGGTGCGTGACAGCAGAGTGTCCCCCTGAGCAGAGCTGATAGGACAGGCCCTTTCCACATCCTGGCCCATTTCATCCTCCCAACAGCCTAGAAGGTGGGATCCGTATTGCACCCACTTCACAGGGAGACATGCGGGGCTGAGACCACACGGTCAGAAGTACCTCAACTGGGGCCTGAACCCAAGCCTGCCTGACTCCAAAGTCCTAACCTGCTGTGTTTGTCAAAACATCAGAGGAAAGCAATTGAGAGAGAAAGGAGCCTAAGAAAATGGCTGCTTGCCCTTTCTTCTCAGTTTTTTCTTCTTCTTAGGATTATTCCTAATTTGCTTGAATGTTCTGCCGTCTCTTAGTGAACTGAATTAGTAACAATATAAGTCAGAAATAGCAAACAGGTTTTGTCTCAGACCAGCCAACTGGAGCATCGGTAGGGTTTGCTGCACTTGTACGTTAATATGTATTCTGAGGCTGCATCCAGGCTTATCAGAAAGAGTATGGATTGATTAGTGATGTCTGCTTTGGTGTAGGTTCGGTGAGTGATGGCATATAGGTCATTGATTTAATATTCCTGACCCATGAAATCTAACTTTCCAAATATCACATTCTGCCGGGCATGGTGGCCCATGCCTGTAATTACAGTGTCTCAAGAGGCTGAGCCAGAAGGATCACGAGTTCAAGTCCAACCTCAGTAATTTAGTGAGGCTGTAAACAACTTAGCAAGACACTGTCTCAAAATGCAAAAAAGGCTGGGGATGTTGTTCAGTGGCAAAGTGCCCCTGGGTTCAATCCCCAGGACCCGCCCCCGCCAAAAAAAAGGATCCCATTCCACAGGTACAGTGAAGACATACCCAAAATAGTTTGAACTGCACAGTTACCCAGTTGTCCATTAAATGCTGATTCATCAAGCATTCTTCTGTGTCAGTACCCAGAAATGGGCACATCCGAATTGTGAGTTCTTCTCAGGATTAAACTGCAGTAGGGTGGGATCAGCTTGTGTTTTATTTGCGCTGTATTCCAAGTATTTAAAGGATCGCCTGATGTGGAAAAGGTGCTTAATAAATACTTGTTAGTTGAATACTCAGAGCATTTGGGCCACTGGCCAGAACCAGCTCCAAGCTCTGTGGTAGAAGTCCCCCTTTCAGAAACTTCCTCTATGGAGAAGAGTCACAAGAGAAAGATGTGCACAGAGGAATCTAAACCCCAAAAGCTTTCATTCTGTGTATTTCAAAGAGCCATCTAATGTTACTCATCAGGCAATCATGGTAGAACAAATGGCATTTTTCTTCACACAGTTTATTTACAAAAGGCTTGGTGATAAAGCCATATTGGAAATCTCTGGTCCAGGAGCGAGATGGAGACTGGCTCGTGTTCCCATTTGATCCAATTATGTCAGGCACTCTCGGGGGGGGGGGGGGGGGGGGAGACGTTGTAATGAGGAGGCTCCTGCGGTCTGGAAGGGACTGTTCTCCCTTGGCTCTGACTTTCCTGGCTCTGAGAACACTGCATCTGCCAGTGTGTCATGTCTCAGCCCCTGTAAAGGCCACCCGAGGCCAGGCGAGCAGGAGAGCCCATCCATCTGTGGCAGCTCCTCGCTGAAACACAGTCTTCAGCCAGAGCCAGGCACCTACCAAGGGCCAAATTCCCTCTGATTAATCTCTGCTAAGCTCCCTGTTCTTGGTGACAGAGTAAAGAGCCTGGGCTGAAAGACAAGAGTGTATTTCCAGAAATTAAGATAAATCAATATTTGTCATCAGGGCAGATAGATTTAGTATTTTGGCTCTGATTCCACACCCACCTGTCTCTCCTGATGGGAAAACTCTAGAAAATACATCCCAAAGGTTCTGAAGTTTCTGGAAGAGCCACTGGCTCTTTCTCTTTCCTTCTCCCTCCACCTCCAACCCAGCTGAGCTTTGGTTTCCTAAAGGGGGGTCACACTGTTTGAGTTCCCCCACTTGGAGGTTAGAGGTTAGACTCTTCCCAGTTTTAATGGTTGGGTGAATCTGGCACTCTGTAGCCTGGCCTCCCACTAGTGGAAAGCCCAGGTGCTATGCCCAGATGTCCACCTCACACAGGACTGTCCCCCACTGTTCACTCTTCCTGAAGCACCTTTCCTTAGTTTCAGCTCCTATGAGGAGCCTCCTTGCTGCCTAGGGACCGTCCCAACGTTGGTCCTCACGTCTGCACACACGCATCATGGCTCAGAATGCCCTGTGTGTACCCAACCTCAAGATCTCCCTCTCTTCCCTGCTGGACTCTGGGCTACCTGGAGGCAGGAGGTGGGTGGCATCCACTTCTATATCCACAATCTGGCTCAAGTAGTTGTTTTAAATACAGATGCTCCCCGACTTAAAGTGGGGTTTTATCCTGAAAAAAAAAAAACATTGTAAATTGAAAATGTAATTTAGAAATACATTTAATACACCTAATCTACCTAATACCCTAGCTGAGCAACACAACACACTGGACTGCTTCCCCAGTGATCACGTGGCTATGTGGGAGCTGCGGTTCCCAGCTTCTGTCCAGCCCCATGGGAGAGGATCCTAGCACATACCGCTATACTGAGAAAAAAATCCAAATTCAAAGAGCGCTTGCCACTGAGCGCCTCTCACTTTTGCATATTATAAGGTGGAAAAATCATAAAACAAGCCATCGGAGTGGAGTACTGTCTATGACTGTTAGTGACATCACTGTGCTCCCCAGATATAGGGCACCATCTTGGGTTATGCCGTGTTGTGGGCAGGGTGTTCAGCAGGAAGACAGGGCCCTGGCTGCTCGACACTTCTCCATCCACCTGGAGAGCCCCAGCCAATCACTCCACCTCCCTGGCCCTCACATCCTGAGAGGGTCCTTCCTCCCCCAGGAGACAGGGTAGAGTAGGCTGCTGTGGGGAAAACCCTTTGGCTTACACAGGTACAAGGATAGTTTGGGTTTGAGAGGGCAGTGGCAAGATGAGCAGAAAGGGGACTGATTGCACCTTGTCCCCAGGAGGCCAGGACTAGAATGTCTTCACCCAAGACTCAGGAGAAAGAATCCAAGCAGAGCCACAGCACCTAACTAGACTAAGAAAAATGTGTGCCTTGGGGCAGTGCACATTGACATTGCATCTTTTGCGAGTAGCAAAATTTGTTACATTTTGGAAAATCCATTGCATTTCCGAATAAGCACATTCTTTGACCTAAAATTCCATGCCCAGAAATTCCAAGAAAGACAACGCATAGGTGAGCAAAGAACTAGGTAGGAGCTATTCGCTGGAATGTTACTTACAACCTGGTTAGATCGAAAAAGACCTCTTGCATATATCAAATTAAAATAATCCTTAAAAAATGTATGTACACTTCCTTAGCAGATAAATATGTTAGGGCACATATAAACAATGGACTATTACATAAAAGAAGTTAGATGCCTCCAAAATTAAGTTTTAAAAGATGACTGAAAAATAGTGTGTGCATATATGCGCGCGCGCGCACACACACACACACACAGATAATATGATCTCATGCTCATCTTTGAATTCATGGCAAAGATCTGGGAGGGTAGTTCAGTGATAGGGCACTTGCCCAGTATGCACCAGGGGCCTGGGTTTGATCCCCATTTTTCAAATATAAATAATTTGTCAAATAGCTGGTTTTAGCCATATGACAAATGCAAAGGAAATCCTTAGAATTTCTTCAGACAGCTAATATTTTTTTAACACTTACCCTCAGTAATGTGTGGGGACCTTTGCCTAGCACTGCGCCATTTTTGTGTGTGTATGTAAAATTTTACTGAAGCATGGTATATATACAGAAAATTGCTCAAAATATCAAGTGTACAGTCCATTAATTTTTTAAATGAATATATCCACACAACCAGTACTCAGATCAAGAAATAGAACATCAGAGAGAATATTTGTCCTTTGATTTTTGGGGGGACTGGCTTATTTCACTTAGCATGATAGTCTTCAGTTCCCTCCATTGACCAGCAAATGCCATAATTTCATTCTTCTTTATGGCTGAGTAATACTCCATTGTGTGTGTGTGTATATATATCACATCTTTTTTAATCCATTCATTTCTTGTAGGGCACCTAGGTTGGTTCCATAGTGTAGTTATTGTGAATTGAGCTGCTGTAAACATTGAAGAGGCTGTGTCACTGCGGTATGCTGATGCTAACTCACAGCAAGGGAGGGGAAGATTAGAAGTTTACTGGACTAGACAAAGGGGAATGAAGGGAAGGGAGGAGGGATGGGAATAGGAAAGACAGTAGAATGAATCGGACATCTTTTCTTCTATACGAATACACAATCAATGTAACTCTACATCATATACAACCACGATAAGAGGATCCTAATTGGAACAAGTTATATTTATTCTGTGTATGTATGTCAAAATACACCCTCTACTGTCATGTTGAACAAATTTTTAAAAATGAAAGGAATAGAACATCAGCCTCGGTAGCCTCCCACATCCCCTTAGGGACCATGCCGATATTGGTTCCCACATCTGCATGCACCCAGCATGGCTCAGAATACCCTGTTTTTACCCAACCCCAAGACCTTCCTCTCCTTCCTGCTAGACTCTTCGCTCCCCCTCCCCTTCCCACTGGCATGACCCCCATCCTCAGAAGCTCCCCTGGCAATACTTTAATTCTCTATCCTCTCTACTTTATAGGTGAGCAAACTGAGACTTGGGTGAAATCACTTCCAAAAAGGTCTTGTCCCTAGTGACCATCAGGGGTAAGAGGGCTGCAGAGAACAGCTGTCCCTGTCCACCTGACGATGTGCTTCTGTAACACTGCGTGTGTTCATAATAAATATGTATCACTTCCATGATCAGGAAAAAAGTCAGGAAGTTAAGCAACTAAGAAGGAAAACGTTTGGTTTCTCAGCCCTCCTCACCCACCCTCCTCGCATACATTCCGACGCGTGGTTTGAGCCATTTGCAAGCTCAGGGATGAGATTCCCCTAAGTCAGGCCACATCAGGGGTGTGGCAGAGAAGACTCCAGGGAAGGCCTAGGCCCTGCTAAGTGTACCCAGGCAAGGTTGCTATAGGGGACGGGTTGCCCCACTGTCCTTGGAGAGATGGAGATGGGTCCAGGTCATGGAGCAGGAAGGAGAGGGAAGGAAGCCACCTGAGTGTTCAAGGCAAGGAGGGGACATAAGTCAGGAAGGTCCCTGAAGCTTGTTCTAGAGGGCAAACCGTAGAGGCCTGAAGCCTCAGGGTAAGTGGGGGTTTGCTTGACTTGACACTGATACAGTCACCAAAAAGGTAGCCCACTCCTAGACTGCCTCCAACAGATCCAAAATGAAAATAGTCACTAAAAATGTCTCAGAATTTTCTCCCATAAAACTCAACAGCATTAGCCATGAGGTTTAGAGGTACGTGCCTGGAATCCCAGCAACTTGAGAGGCTGAGGCAGAAGTTCGTGGCCAGCCTGGGCAACTTAGCAAGACCCTGTCTCAAAATAAAAAATAAAAGGGACTAAGGTTGTAGGTCAGTGGTAGAGAGCCCCTGGGTTCAATTTCCAGTATGGGGTGGGGGGCAAAAGCCTCAGTGTTGTCAAGAGGATCCAGAGAAATAGAGTGGCAATATACACCCTGGAAGCTGGTCAAGTGTGATATTGCAACCTGGTGCTCAGAGGGGTTAGGTGACTGGACCAGGGCTTCCCAGCCAGAAGGTGGCAGTGCCAGGGCTAAATTCCAGGTGTCCTGGCTCTAAGCCCAGGACACATCTCCTTCCACCTGGTGGGAGGGATAGAGAGAGGCCGCTGTTACAGGCAGGGCTCAGCGGTCAGGACCAGCTCTGAGGAGCCCTTAAGCTGCTGCGCAGGAGGGAGAGATGACTTCCAACGTCAGCCCACGTGGAAGAGAGCAACCTGGGCCACCTCCTTAGCACCCATATGGCAGTGCACTTCCCTGTCCTTGTCACCACCCTCTTCCAGCGTTCTGCATCTCCAACCAGCTGCGGCGTCACTTCCAGGACCCTGGTGCCCCCTCCTTTCCTCCCTGGAGTGTGAGCATGCTGGAAACACTGCCGTGTGCACATTTCTGGCCAGGGCCACTTACACCCGTCTTTCCAGGATCTGACTTCTGGGAACGGGGATGGCATTCTGCTCTGACTCCCCAGCAAGCCTTTTGAAATTCCATGAGTGTCCATCTCTCCCCCTGCTCCTCCAGGAAAATGGCTCAAAGGCCCACAGATCCTCTTCCCTGCAGAACTCCCGAACCACACATGGGGCTCAACATGCTAGGGCTCTTCAAGGCTAAAAATGATAGTAATAATTTCTTCAAAGTGCGTTTCAAGAACTAAATGAGATAATATGCTTAATTGGTCTGGAGCTGGACAAAAAGGAAGCACATGACAAATGGTGGATATGTGTGGTCATAACTCAGGTAAAGAGGCAGAACAGAGAGGGATCAAGTCCATGGGCCTGGGTTCTAGTGCAGCCATGAACAGCCAGTAGCTTGAGAAAATGACATGACCTCTTCATCTGTAAAATGGGGACTGAATAGTAGTGCAGTTGTGAGCATGATATTAGAAATACACTGTAGGCTTAGCTCAGAGCCTAGAACATAACAAATGATCAATGAATGGTAGCTGTCAGTGTCCACATCGTTGCAGTTTTTGTGATCACACTGGTGGCAGGAAGACAGGAATGGGAAGAGCTTTGAGGCTGGCAAGACAAAGGTGGAGGCTCTGGCTTCAGGCCCAGCTCTGGAACAGACTCTCAGGGAGACCTTCGCCTGAGCTTTATGTCCTCATCTACAAAGGGACACTAGTAATCCCAAATTCACAGGACAGTTAAGAGGTGTCACGTGAGCTGTCAGAAACATTCACCTGAGGAAGACTGCCACTACTCCAGGACGCGGTGATGCTCAAGTGTGGTTCCTGGACAAGCAGCATTAGCAGCACCTGGGAACCTGTAGGCATTGGTGTGTGTGACCAGGCTGTACGCAGGCTGCTGAGGCAGACGCTAGGGTGGGGCCTGGCCATCTGTGTTTTAATGAGCCCTTCAGGTTCTTCTGATGCTCACCCAAGCTGCAAATAATAGGTAGGGTCTGTAAGAACAGATGCTCAGGCTTGGATATGGGATGACAGTGGAAATGGGCAGGTTGGTGGGCAGGTTGGCCAACAGGTTCCAGCACCTTCTGCCAGCTTTCAAGGTTCTACATCATTGGGTCCACCCTGGGCGGCTGGTTTCTGTTCCATTTCTTCCAATGGAGTTTTAAAGCAAGCTGATTAATGACCAGGGTCATGTGACTGGATGAATGAGTTAGCTGATGTTTGCACGGGGTGGAGACGTTGATGGGAAGAAAAGCACACGTGCACCCAGGTCAGAGAACTGAGCAGCGTGCAGCTGATTCTCAGCAGCACCCTCACGTGGGGCCCTGGGATGCAGAGAGGGTAGGAGGGACAGAAACTGGGCAGAAGTCAAGGGTGCTGCTGTGTTCTGCAAGCAATGCAAGTGCTGCTACAGGGCCACGTTGGGTTAGGAGCCACCGTGGGCATTAAATGGGAGGGCATAGGCTCCCTGGAGATCTCAGATCTTCCCGGTTCTGGGAAACCCACCAGATTTCATTCTGGGTTCTGAGCTAAGGAAGCCTGGGGCAGGTACTTGATTCCAGAGGGCCTCATTTTACTCCTGTGTGGAAGGGTGTGGTGGCACCTCCTTGCTGGGCTGCTGTGAGATGCCGCGTTTCCAAACAGGAGCCAAAACCTGATGTAGGGCGAACACCCCGTTCGTTGAGGCTGGTTAACCATAAACAGAGAGAATGTTAAAATAGTCCTTCCTTTTTTTTTTTTTTTTTCAGTACTGGGAATTGAACCCAAGAGCACTTTACCACAGAGCTACATCCCCAGCCCTTTTTATTTTATATTTTGAGACAGTGTCAGGCTTACCTTGAATTTGCAATCCTCCTGCCTCGGCTTCCCAAGTTACTGGCATTACAGGCATGTGTCACAGTGTCTGGCAAAATAGTCAAAGATTTAATTATTAATTTATAACTGAAAACCATATAATTTAGAAGTTAATTAAAATTGGTTTTAAAACTAAAATAAAATTGTTCTTTTCTACTGTTTTCTTTTTTCCCAACAGTATCTAGTAACCATTATAAATATCCAAAACTAGCATGGATGAGGTCATTTGATGCCAGTGAGACTTCTTGGAAACAACATCTTCTTGTTCATAATGAATACATTTAAAATAATATGAGTTTCTTTTCTGGGGGAATTGTGTGGTGTGCCCTCAGCGCCCACACCAGCTGCCGTGTGTCCAAGTGACTCCATGTAGACAGCGCACAGGATCCTCTGACTTCTTCCACATGCCTCAATTCAGCCCACTACCCACTACCACCTTAGGGGGTAGCAGGCATGGTCCTTTTTCCCATTTTATGGATGAGGAAACTGAGGCTTTCACACATACAAAATTTGCTTAAGAGCTTGGATTGGATTAAACCTCAGTGCTGTCAACTCCAGAGCTGAGCTCATAACCACCACCCTAGGTGCCTCCAAAGCACACAGCTAATGCCAAATAATTGGTGGCAATTATTATCATATTATTTTCTCCAAGTGCAACTGATTAGGGCTGGAACTCCACAGGGGTCCTCAGATGAGATGCCAACTGCTACAGACCTGGCTGGCTGCCGGTCTTCTCCCTGTCGTGCGCTAGCAGGGGCTATGCCATTCCTGGTTGGTTTCCAGGCAGCCATTTCCTGACAGTTTACCCAGCCCCTGCTTGCCGCATTCCCCTCTGTGGGACGCCCCCTCACGCCCCCTCTCAGTCCCTTTGTGATCTCCTGAAGCACATCACCACCCATCTCTTTCCTCCTTGGTTTAGGAGATAAGAGCGAGTAATTGTCTTTTATAGACACTGCAATGAAGCCTGTCATCACACAAAAGAAGTTTGCTAATAAAATAAATCAAAGCAGCAATGGAAATGAATGGGGAGCAGCTTTTACAATTAGATTTGTACTTGTCTAGTGGCATGGTCCTTCTGTGAGAAGACGACTCCTCCTCCCAGGAAGTAAAAGGGTCAGGGTAGGACAACAGGGCTCCAGAGCGGGAGGGAGGTGGGGAGGAGCCGGGAGGGGGATGCTGGCTGGCACCAGGCAAAACATGCCACAAGGAGAGGGGCTGCAAAAATGTCACCTCTGTGGCCTGCATTTGTTCCCATCTCGAACTTTGTGGGTTCTATGCCAGTTGGAACCTGGCTGCAGCCCACACTACAGCTCCCTTCTCTCTGCCACCAGCTGGACCCCCTGCCAGCAGGTGAAAGGACAATGCCTTGGATGGCCAGACCCCAAATGGCACCCGGTGACTTTGGCCCACCCACCTGGCCCTATCAGGCCCTGTTAGTTCCAGAGTTTGCCACCAAGTCAGCTGGAAAACTAGGCCAGACGATAGGAAACCCAGTGGTGTTGGACCGAAGGGCAACATTGCATGAGTTCAAGATGGTGGTGTTTCTCCTGCTATGAGTAGAAATGACTCACGATCATCTAGATTGCTGGGGCCCAAGCTTTAAGCTCAGTGCCTTTTGTGAGTTGTCTCTAGGCACTGAACTACATCCCCAGGTCCCCAGTCCTTGAATTTTTTAAGTAAAGGGGAAAAAATGTTTCCTCCTACATTTTCCACAGCCTTGGAAATGACTGTCCACACCCATGGGGGGAGCAAGGCCCCCAGCTGAATGACTTACCCAAGGTCCCATGGCTGGCCTGGGAGCATTAGGACCTGAACGTGGGTGAGGCTGCAGTGTGTGCTCACTGTGTCCACACCTCGGTTGTCTGGGTCTCAAATGGCAATTGCTTTGCCATGAAGGAAGGGAGGGGCCTGAGGATTCACAGAGTGACCTAGACCCTGGGCAGATCTGCAAGGCCTGGGCCCTGGGACCAGCTGCCTATTCCCCACCCCAAGGCAGGTGGCCACACCACCCTGCCTCTGTCATTCATCTCCCTGGAAAGAGAGGCCCCCCTCCCCAGCCAGTCTCAGGACCCTCTCTCTCCAGTGGGAGAGTTGAGAGTTGTTTGTCACAAGAGAGAGGTGACCGAGTGATGACTGTGACAGTGACATGTTTTCTGGCTTCCTGCTTCACCCAAGACAAAATCCAGTCAGGATCCAGCCGGAAAGAGATGGAAATGGGACCTCGTATCCAAGAAAGAACAAAACCTGCTTCAGGCCCAGGACTTGTATTCTTGCTAAGATTATCAAAAGACACAGGGCATTTCCTCGTGATACGAAAGCATCCATGACAAAAAGGCTCACCCTTCCCTCTGGTCAGATCCTTGTCCCCACGGCTGACATTCACTCATTTGCTCCTCTGTGAACTCTGCAGGGACAGAATATGTGGCTGGTACGGGCAGAGCACTGTGCTAGACACTGGGGGTCTGAAGGCGAAGATGACAGATGAGCCCCCTGCCCACACTGACCTGAGGCTAGGGGTTTGCAGAGAGTCTGGTAAGGACTCTCACATTAAAGTGACAGAAAGCCATCTTAAACTGGTAGTAGCCAGGAAGAAGGTTGGGGACTGTCTTCATCATGACTGAACCCAGGCCTCCGACTGTCCAACTCCCTCTCCACCCTCCCTCTGTGTCGGCTAGATCCCAGGCAGGTCCCCCTTCACTGTGTGGGGGCAGAGATGGCCACTGGCAGCTGCAGCACAGGGTCCCCTTTGTCTCTCAGATGAAGCACCCATAAAGTGCTCTATCACAGCTGGGTATAGTGATACACACCTGAGATCCCAGCCACCTGGGAGGCTAAGACAAGTTTGAGGCCAGCCTTACCAGCCTAGAGGCCCTCAGCAACTTAGTGAGACCCAGTCTCAAAATACAAAATAAAAAGGGGCTGGGGATGTGGCTCAGGGTTACGCACCCCTGGGTTCCATCCTCACGTTGCTCTGCCTTACGCCTACTTCAGAGCCCACAAGGCTGAGCCCTGCAGCTGGCCCCCTGGTCCCAGGGCCCCAAACAGAACAGTCGAGGGGACAGTCCCCAGAACAAAGAAGGTGTGCAGGATAGGGAAAAACGACACATGCCAATTACAGGGGGATCAGATCTGAGGGGTCACTATGTGGATAATTAAGATTGCACCCCCAATAAAAAACGACGGAGGCCAAGTGCAGGCACTGTGTGTGCCCATAAAGGACGGTGCCCACATCAGGCAGAGGGAGAAGTCTATGGCATGAGCCGGGCTGTCAGAGGGAGGAGTGTGGTGGGCAAGAGATGGGTGGAGTGAGACAGCAAACGCCACCATGTTGACATCTGTGTATGAGATACTGTGGGTGGCCTGCGCTGGAGTGCTCCCAAAGGACTCAGGGTGGGGGAGCAGATTTAGATGAACAACTGTCTATCTCTCTAGAGGGCCTTTTCATTGAGTCTGCCCCAGTGCATTGTGTCCTGAGCAAGGGAGCCATGGCATAAACCCAGCACCGGAAGCCAGGACTCCCCCTGGGCTCCATGCATCTGTGGAACCTGAGAACATGTTGGATGCCTGAAACCTTTAGGCAGATCAAGGTCACCCTGGTTCCTCAGGAACCTCCAGGCTGATGGTCAGTGTGGTCAGGGCCAAGGGATCCAGAGGTCTTGGCAAAGAGGCTTTGAAAATGGATCACTCGTTGGTACAAAAACTCCCCTGCCAGACAGAGCTGGAGACGCAGCCTCGTTAGCTAATGCAAGCTTAATATGGAGCCAAGGAAGTGGACGCCAGCCCACTCAACTGCCCAGGAGACAGTCAAAAATCGAGTCCCCCTCCTGCTCAGCCCGCTCTACCACCAAGAGGCAGAAGGCAGCCCAGCAGCAACCCGGCAGTATCCACCAGACAAAGGGACACTTCCACATCAATCTCTTTGTACAAGGGAAGAGTTATTGTTATGGGATCCTGGCACCTGATCAATATCTCCGGCTTTGAAAATAAACTTCTTGGCTTGGCCTTGACATTAATCTACCATCAGGAGCCCATTATCTTGAAGCCAATGTTCTGTTCTATTGACTTGCTCAATTTTTTTTTCCTCCCCCAAGATCAGAAAGTAATTGCGTCCCTCTAGGCAGCATCTTCGACTAATGCTGCTCCACGCAGACCCCTCTGCATGGGGCTGGGTACATCTGAGCTGGGGATGGAGACAGCAGGAAGTAGCAGAAAGCCCCTTATACGTGAACCACTGGCAGAACAGCCCCGCTAAGTCCCAGACTCATCGGGACAGAGGCCCAACCCCCAATGCCCCCTCAAGCAGTTCAAGCTTTAAAGGGGGCTCTTTTGCACAGAATTAGGGTTGTGGATGTCTCCACATCTGCCCAGATCCAGCCAGTCTCACCATGGCCACAGCCTCCCCTCCCAAAAGCCATGAAGGCTTCAAATCGAGATGACTATCACCAGAGCCTCTGAAGCCTTCACCACCGCAGGCCTGCACCCTCTGTGAACTTCTCTACCCCACAGTCACCGCCTTGCTTTGCCATCCAGTAGCACACATTGTCATGAGAAACTGTCCTCGTGTTGCCTGCCTGCTGCCACCAGACAGCATTACTCTAGACGTGCATCTTAACACAGAGAACCGTTACTGTCTCCTAGTTGCTTTTGGTCTGGAGTTGGGGAGTGGCCTTGCTGGATAGTTCTGGCTCAGGTCTACCATGAGGTGGTAGCATGGTACCACCTCAGGAAATAAGCCAGGGCCACTGTCAACTGTAGGCTTCACTAGGACTGGAACATCCACTTCTAAGATGGCACACTGGTATGACTGGCACTTGGGCCTGATTGATGGGAGACTCAGCTGTCCCTACATGGATCTCTTTCCCCCACCCCATGCCAAGATTGAACCCAGGGCCACACACATGCTAGGCAAACACTCTACCACTGCCCCAAACAGATGTATCTCTTAGCTCCTCCAAGCCTCAGTTTCTGCATCTGTAAAATGGCCCCCTGCCTAGTGTCTAAGCCGTCGGCTGTCTTTACTGCTGTTGCTATGATTGTGTTTGCCCATGT